GTAGCAATTTAGGGCCATCTCTTCAATTAGTCTTTGAAGTTCACCAATTTTCTTGTTCATGATGGCACCTCCACTAGCCGCATCGATGAGGTTCTGTGGCTCTCTTGTCAAACGATTATAAAAGCTTTCCACTTGCCACCAATCGGCAATATCGTGGTGTGGACATTTGAGTAGAAGTGATGTAAACCTTTCCCATCCATCAAACAATAGCTCATCTTCCTCTTGACGGAAATATACCATGCGAAGAACTTGTCACAAAGATCCGCCCACGAGGTAATGGAGTGTTGGGGATGGTTATTCAACCATTACTTTGCCGCTCCATTTAGAGTAAACGGGAATAACCTCTGACGGATTGCCTCTTGAGGAATCATATTATCTTAATTTCATCAATCAAATTGTAGAACGACTTGATATGTGTGTGGACGTCTTCACTCATCATCCCATTGAATTAAAATTCACTTTGAAGCATCAAAATTATGCCCGGCTTTATCTCATAGTTTTTGTTTGGCACCGAGGGGTGAAGAATAGGGGATTGAACACTATCCACACTTGGCCTTGAGTAGATCCCATTATTCTAGGCCTTGGTAGAACTAGAGATTGATGTTGTTGGTCCGCCATTGGAGGAGGTTGATGTCTAGCAAGTCTGCTTAGAGTCCGAAGGGTTCTCTCAATTTCTGTATCAAGAGGTAGTATCTCCAAAGAATCCCTTCTTCGCATACAAGTCTACTACAAGACACAAACACAACAACTCGTGACGTACTTCATAAAAAACACAAAATGATAAAAAAACTAAAATAATATAAATACAAACAAAAAAAATAATGGCTAAATTAACAACTCGAAGGTTTTCTACTAGTTACCGAGGGTCCACGGCAATGGCACCAAAAATCTAGATCGCTTGCGTGATCGAGCTTTAAATTTATTATTCGATGAACACTCTCTATTCAATCATAACTAAGCCAAGTATAAGCTAGCTAGGGTTGTAGTAAAGTGGCTCAGTCGTATTCCAAGGTAACTCTAAACTTACTATTACTTCGCTCTGAGCTACTATCTAATCGAATCAAAAGTTGGTGAAGAATCAAACCTTATTTATTCATAATCATCCAACCAAGTGGTTGGGAGATCGCTAGAGATGAGAAGGTTCCTAAGGTCAAATCCTCCTAGCTATGGTTGTCATGTAGATTATGAGAATTTGGTGAGTTTTCTGTGGAACTTCGTGATTATCCACATGCCTCCGAGTATGCCTTACCTAACCCATTGGCACCTCAGTATAGGCTCACGTATATAAGGCTTTAAGAACCTAGTTCCTTTCAATGGGTACTACCCACCGTCCACACCAAGCTTTCATCTCGGGTTCCATTTAGGAAGGCATTATTGTGGCAGAGGTTCGGTTGCCTCGCCCACCACAAGACCCTATTCATTTATCTAACCCTAATTTGCCAGATGGCGCATACCCGTCTAACCCTAAAAGTCTATACTCGGCGTAGAAGCTCAACTAGGCTAGTAGAGAATATTAGGGAGGCTTATCCAAGCACAATTAAAGCTAGATGAAGCATTAAAATCAACTAAACAAGCACATTCATTCAAATCCCAAACATACACAACCTATAAACTAGGGTTCATCTTCCCTAAACAACCATTAGAGACTCAAGTCATACAGAGAGAAAGAAAACACAGACTATAAGAGAGGGAGTGATGGAATCAATCTTCTTCTCCTTGCTTGACCTTCTTCTTGCTCCTTGGGTTGATTGGATCTTCAATGAAGCTCTCCCAAGGTGGTTCCCTCTCTAAAACACTCCAAACCCTTAACTTTCTCACTCTAGGTCGGCTCCCCCTTGTCAAGTGCAGAAAAAGGAGTATTTACAGCACTCTATGACCTTGCCGTGACCAGCTGGAACGTTGCCGACTCGCCCGAAATGTCACATATTGACACCATATTTAAGCTCCGAGATCGCTGTTTCCTTGATAAGATCGCGGCCGTGATCTTTGTGTCACGGCATGATCTTTTTCGCGATCAAAATGCACTATGTCAACGATTAGGATGTCTAAAATTTTTTCCTTTACTTGGTCGCTTGCTGAGGTTCACGACTACTGTTCACGGCCGTGATCTTCTAGCCGCAAACATGGTCACAACCTAGTGGTCACGGCCGTTCGGATGAACTCTAGTAGATTCCCGATCAATCCCAAATGCATTTAAGACCTGGAATTTCATCACAAACACTGGAAAAGCATAAAACATGTTTTGAAAATAAGAACGAAAATAGGCATAAATAACTTGGTATGTGTCCTAGACGCGGTGATTTAACATGCAAATGCCTTAAGAGTAAGGGTCCAATTACACCTATTTTAGGTGCTATCACTTATTGTGATGCAGATTGGGGAGTTTTTCAGTGCACACGTCGATCTACCAGTGGTTATTTCATTCGCATGGGCGACAATTCAGTTTCATCACATACAAAGAAGTAATTTGTTATTGCTCAGTCTTCTGTTCCAAAGAAGAAGTGATTTTTGGCTTTTGCTAGGTTTGTGTCAATCTTTGTTTCTCGGGTCTTACTTGACTAGTATGTTGTTGGCTATATCTCTAATTAGAATGTTGAATATATGGTTTCATTTTCTTTTCAAGAAGTTGAGACAAGAGGCATCTTCATGGATCAAATTTGCGTTATGATGATTCAAGAGAAACAAATTTTTATTAATATAATCAATATTTTTGGCATATGAATTTCACACGTACTTATTTATATATGATTTTGAATAATTATGATACATTAAGTACGATTTTCTTAGATATTCATTCATTTGGATGCTATTGATTTCATTAATATTTGACCTATATATTCTTTATTTGATGGAGTTGTGGATGATATGTTGTATTAAAATATAGAAAATAATTTGATGTCTCTAAAACTAGCACTTATTTGGACGATTTGTCTCTTAAGTATAGTATATATGGGATGCCCATTGTCTCGAAAAATAACATTTATGACACGACTTGATGTCTCCACAAACGACTATTACAAGATGACTTAGTGTCTCCAACATTCTACTTCAAGAACACCTTGTCATCTCGAAAAATAGCTCTCAAGGGCGAAAGTTTGTCTCGAGAAATCCTATTAAGATAAGATTTGTTGTCTCAAGAAGAACTCAAACGACGACTCTTTGTCGCAAAAAGAGTATGTTAGGGCACGACTTATGGACTTGGAAATAGTTCTTAAGAGGCGAATTGGTATATAGAATAACACTGTATATAAGGGATGATATGTTGTCTCCAAAGACAGTTCTTTGGGAACAACTTGTCGTCTCGAAAACATTGTATTAGGGACGACTAGAAGTCTTCAAAGATAGTTGTTAGCAAAGGTTAATGTCTCGAAACACTTCTTAGAGACGATTTGTTGTCTCCAAAAATTCTTGATATAGTACATAATTCATACATAATTCATAAGGGATGACTTTTTATCTCCAAAAATAATGCATATGAGACGACATGTTGTCCTAAACTCGTAGAAAAAGCACGGAAAATTAATTCAGATTTTTGAAATTTTAGAGACAACCATGTGTCCCTGATATTGGGGATGAATTTTATTTTTTGTTCCCAAAAGAATAGTGGACGGAACCTATATGCACCACTCGTGAAGACAATATTGTTTGTTTCCAAAAGATCTGGAGATGAAAACCCCATGTTTTGGAAACGACATTTTTGGTCCCCAGAACTTACCAATTTTATAGTGAAAAGGCCTTGGTATGGACCAGTTCAATTTGTTAACTCCCAAGTTGGCCTACATGATGTTCATACCTCAGCTTTAGACGGAGTGTTATAGGCATATATACATCGTAAATTGTTAACACGTAAGAATAAGATGTAATCGTTTGCAAGCTTGTGAGTCTTGGGTTAGTTAATTATCATTTACCGGGATTCCTTTGTTGCATGCAAAAGGAATTGCAAGCCTATATTTTTAGGCTTTTGAGTCGGGTACTGAATATAGGGAAAACAAAACCCATAACTAAAATTATAACCGAAAACTGTTTTAGTGAGACTTTCATGGATTATTCTTATTCTATACAATGAGGATATCACATAATATCGTTACCTATCACTTTCAAGAAGAATAATAAATATACTAGAATATTATAATAAATATTAAAATATCTATTTAAACCCCTTAATTCAATTAGAAGCACCATTAGTAATAGTTAAAATAGAATCTAATCGATGATCAATACATTAAAATAAAAAAGGATAAATGGAACACAATAAAAACGAATTAAACATATTCCACTAATTGAAAAAATTTAGAACAAAAAGAGATATAAAGTAGCCACGCAGTAAACAAAATATAAAAGCCACAAGATTCGATGAAAAATATAGAAAAGAAAATATAACTATAAAAGTTACAACATTCAATGAATAATTCAAATATTAGAACACATAATGATAATTGAAAATAATTATAATGATAACAGATTCTAAATTTTCAAAAATTGGTTTGGTATCAAGTATTCAAAAGAAGATTCTAACTAAGCAATAAAAAATAATGTTTTTCATAAGTTCAAATAATTTTTTTCAATAAAAAAAAGTATAAGAACCAATTAGGAAATTTAGAAAACAGAAAATTCCAAGAATATTTTGTCAACTTTAACGGAACGCACTTAGCTGTAAACTTAAGTTATACCGGATGGACATATAATCGAGCTCAGTGGTACCTGATGTCTTATTCAAAATTAATGATATATCTACCCCAATTTTCAAATTTATGTGTCATCCGAGATATTTACCCAAGAACGGATTGTTCACATATTAATGACTAATGAAGGAGGGAGGGGTTACACGTGTCCTTATGTCCTTTGTCTATGAAAGAGCAGGGAAATGGTTATACGTCGAACAAAGAGTAATTCAGGTGACCAATCAGAGAGAGCCAGAACTAACCGGCCAACCGAGAGCCACGACCGAAACCCAGCCTCTGCTTTCCCTATATAAACCCTCCTCCGGAAGCTTCAACATTCACTCACCCAGCAATCTTAATTCTCTCGAGCAACATTCTGAAACACAATACCTTTCTTTTACACTTCTCATAGTCCTACTTTCTAGTCTTTGTGTTGCGAGAATGGTCGGTATTGCAGCGAAGATAGTGTCGATGCTCCTGGTGGTAGCCCCATACATGGCATCGGTGGATACCATAGCATGCGGTCAGGTGGCGAACAGTCTGGCCCCATGCGTGAACTACATGAAGAACGGTGGGGCAGTCCCGGCGGGATGCTGCAACGGGGTGAAGGCCCTCAACGGTGCGGCCAAGACTAAGGTGGCGGCAGCGTATTAGCTATCAATATAGTGGAATAAAATGTGTTAGCTGGGAGATGGTCGGGGACTCTTCTCTTCTCCCTTGCGCCTTAATTAAGTTGTTGTGTCTTTTGTTTTATCGGATTGTGTTGTTTGTTGTCAGTTTAATAATCTCAATCATATATATGGGTACTGATTATGGGATTTTATCGTTTGTGTGTGGTCACCATATATCCATGTACGGTTCCAGGGGTACCTTTTTGTAATTTGATGAAAGTTGTATGCGATACGTATGATACTTTAATACTCTTATTATTATTCACCTGTCTCTTGGCACATTCTTTCCTGGTGGTAATTGCAGATCACATAAACCAGGAGCTCCCTACAAATAATAATATTTCGATAAATGAGCTACTGATCACAATGCGCTCGCGCATTTAGCTCTCCGATGGTATCCTTAAAGGTCACACGAACGTACATTAAAGCCCAGCTGGACCGATTAGTCTTTATGGCATGCGTGCTCTGAATTACCACTGGACTTACTGTACTTGCTCGTCGATTAAATAGAGAACTACACCTATTAATTTGATCACTATTAAGTTACCGAGCTTAGTGGTTCATATGATCAACAAGGTGAAACTTTCACTACAAAAAAAGAGGGTTGGGGGATGACAAAAATGCCTTTATAAATAAGCTAAATCTTTCACAACTAGTCATCTATTCTTTTGAGTAGACCAAAAATCTAAGTTGTCCCTAATATTTGGGACGACATTAGTCAGAATTACCCACAACACAAGGTATCTTTTCATTTATTTTCTACAAAGGAATATGTTGTCCCTATATTCATGACTCTATATTCATGACTCTGGTGACAATAAATCATCCCTAAATATTATTTTGCAGATAAAATATTGTCACTTATAAGTTATTTTATGATTTATTGTGACTACTTGATAATAATATACGGTTCACATTTCTTTTTATGGGGTCGACATATTATACCCATAGGTGTCAAAGAGCTTTAGGACTGATTCTTTTATGTATTTTTTTTTTAAATCCACAATAATGCTAACACGATAAGATATTCATTATTCGAAATACGCATTTCCAAATACTGGTTGAGTCGTCTTTAATGCGAATTATGAAAACTATTTTTTTATCGTGCTTGAAGGAGGATGTCAAAATTCGTAACAAGATATGCCCATGTAAAGTAAAAGGAAATATGTACATGCAATTACTTGTTCATACTTTAATATGCATTTTTTACATTGATATATTTGTGGCATCCCCAATAAATGTTCAATGTAATCTAAGCTTCACTGACTGCCAAACGAACCTCTGCTACTTTCGATTTCTCGCCCCGATGTTATTGCCTAATACCCACAAAGTGCATAAGAAAAACAATAATTAGGAGCTTAAGGAAAATTAGATATGCTACTAAAATAAAATAACCATTCACCCACATCAAAACTTACATCGAAAGGACCACATTTGCAATCGCTACCATATCCAGTCATTACAAAGGAGGAGAAGGGAGTGTGTTGATGGCTAGAGAAGAACAAAATGGAGAGTAGACTTCGATTGTGATACAAAATGTGAGAGTAGAATGAAGAGAAGTTTCAATGACAATGGGAGAAGAAGATAATAGTGAGTGTAGGGCCTAATCGAAAAATAATGAGGAATAATATTAAAGAGTTTGTGCCAGAGAGAAGATTAAAAAGAAGAGAGAGCACCGATCAAATGTGGTGAGAGAGTGAAGATTAGACCGCTTTCAACATACCGTCATTAGAATAAATAAGGACAATGTGTATACAGCTCAATTGGACGCAATAGTATGTATGAGACCCTAAGAAGGTTCTACCCAACCAAATAAGGGTAACCTATGGATATAATTCTTCTCGATTGCATGTTATTTTTAAGGGAATGTGCTTTGGACCCCGCCTAGAATCGTTTAGGAGCCATTTAAACATTAGTTATTCTTGTGTATCTGTTATGTGTTATCTATATTTATTAAGGTTTGATCATTGTTTCCTTGTGCTTTTGTTGAATATTCGGATTTGGGTTCTTGAGCTAAGCTAGTGAGTACTGACCATCTTTTTAGGTCAAGATTAGAACACCCATCAACTTAGTTAAGTTATAATTGCATGACCATTAGGCTAGCTTCATTTGCATGTGTTTAAGGAGTCTAATTCTAAAGTTGTAGTGATTTAGTTAGTTACATGATCATTGAGTCAAGTGATTTCCTAGAAGTAAAATTACTTGCATGGCCATTGACTGGATTTCTAGTCTAAGTGACTTTTTTCCAATATAGATGATAAATGAGCTTTCATTGACTTGCATTCATCTCGTGTCAACTTATTGCTTGGGGGACTGGACATAAGAAACAACCTAACTCTAGAGATCTCCATCATACATAGTTGTGTTTCTCTCTTTTATTAGTTAGTTTAATTCACATTCAAACCTTCTCATCTTGTTCATTAAATAGTAGTCTGAGGCCAAGAGTAGTAGTAGACCTATAGGCTCGTGGAATATGACAGCTTTCAGCACTATACCACTTCACCAATTCGAGATATACTTGACTTGAATTGAAATGGTTAGTATTGTTGACTAACTGAGTTTTACTACATAATATAAATCAAGTTTTTTGCATCGTTTCTAGGTACATATTTGGTTATTATGAAAGGCTTAGAGCTACTTGTTTAGACTTGTGTTGGTTATTCCTTGAGTGTATTGTTGTATTTATGCTTGTTCCTCTTGTAGTACCTTGTGTTTTTCCTTTATGTATTTATGTTTGTAATTTGTTTGTAGCTTTAAAACATGGACTCCCTATGGCTTCCATAGAGTGTGGATGTATCAACCATCTTCTGAATAGTGTTACCTTGGAGCTTCAAGGAGGAGTAAAGGCTAAGTATTCAGGTTTTAAGCATAACCACATCTCTATGCGCACCAATTATACCCTCTCAGATACCAAACTCCTCGATCCACCATTTCGCGAAGAACCTCTTTCACACCTCAACTAGAATCATTCACCCCGAACCTATGATGGACTTGACTTGGCATATTTCTTGACGAAGAGTGAGATTTCAAGTTCCAATGTAGAGAATTCCATCCATCCTTCCTCCCTCCAACTCCAACTTTATGCAAGGTTCCAACGAGTTCTCTATAAGGGTGGAGTAGGAAGAATGATAAATCAATGTATGTGATGTTAATCTTCCCAGAGACACTTCTTTCACTACTTTCAACAAAAATAGGAGTATGGTGAAGCAAGGAACGAAGTTTTTATGAAGGAGGAAGAATGGTAAAAGGGAAGAGACTGAGGGGACATGTTCTAGTTTGGAAAATCTCGACCTTCCTCATCTACACTACCTCTTTGAACAAGACGAGATGATTAACATGTTTGAAAATAAGAAAAACGATCATGAACAAATGTTTCAAGTATTACTCAAGCTCACATCTTAAACATAATCTATGAAGGTGATGAAAATTTGAGCAAAAAAGAGGTTGAGAAGGAGGAATGAGGGATCAACAATGAATAAATTGTGGAGCATGAAGAATAAAGAGAAGAAGAGAAAAACCATAATAAAAAATGAACTAGGGGGTTATACCAACCAAGAAGAGAGAGAAGGTTGATTATGTAATTGGATCATTAGTGTCGATCATGGTTTTGGTACATGAGTATGTTCCTATGTTCCTATGTGTGAGCCAAACCAAAGTGGTACACACACCCCTAACCATTAGCTAACCATTAGAGGCTTCTAGAGATGGATCCCTTTGCCAAAACAAGGCCACAACATCAGGCGTCCCTTTTGGTGGATGCAATGGTGGTTGATTCAGTATGCCCTATATGGTTTGGTAGATTTTAAGACCATATTCAATTAGTTTTGGGTTAATTTTGTAGGCCGAAAAAGAAAAGAAAATTATATAGATTTTCAATGTTGGGTTATCCTTTCAACCTTTTCTTCTACAAATTCCTCATCTTAAATTCATCGATGATACTCCTCCATTCTCTTATTTACCTCCAAAACCAGCACACACCGCATCTACGATCCAACTGTCAGCGTCCTTTCCGGCAGCTTCCTACAAAGTTGCATCCAACTTCCTCTTTGGTGACCCCCCTTGTTGTAACTTTTGAGCCGACACTCGATACAACCACCCGCCCCATCCCTACAAATCCCTACAAATCCCTACAAATCAAATCTCCTTCTCCTTCACTCTCCCACTTGTTGCCGCTTTCGCTGGTTAGTGAAGCTTGCCGAAAAATGTTTTAGCTTCATCATTTTTTGTTAGTTTCCTCTTCTTATGTTTTCTGAATGTAGCATGAAGGTGGTGAATGCTTGTTTTAAGGGTATTAATTTGATTTTTATGTGTGAGATTTATCTTTTCAATATAATCTAGTTTATTTTTATATTTAAAATACAAGTTATAGTTAGAATATTTCTATCGAATCTATATTTAAAATACAAGCTATCGTTGCCAATAAACTCATATGAACACATAGAGAGGTTATAAACAACGTTACAAGCATAGATAGTTATAATTACATTACAGTATTCATCATATGTCTTTCAACCGTGATTTTGATCATCTAACTCATATTGTTTTTGAACATAAATGTTGTTGTAACGAAATTTCTTTTGTCCTAATTTCAAATATTACTTCATTAAATTGTACATGTTGTTCATTCTTCAATTTCTGATTTATATGAATACTTGTATGCCTTTGAATTCAGGTGGATCAAACCAATACCAAGTGTTAAACATTTTGGCATGTCCCTAGTACCAGTAGGTACTAAGAATTACAATTACATATATAACGTTACTTTATTGTGATTTTATCATTAGAACTATAGTTGTCAACCCGTCAGTCGAATCGTTTTAGCATGAATTCGATGTTAATCAGGCGACAAGAAATCGTTAGGAAGTCTGCCTGGACCTGATCAAATCAAAAGCAATATGTAGAAATTGACCGGTATGACCAAACGATAAAGCAACTTGAAAATTATTGCAAAGCAAACTATTTAGTGAGGTTGGTGAGAATTGGTCGTTTGACCTCTTTTTCTCTAGTCAACAAGTTCACCACTACACCACAGATTGAATTCGATCCTTACTTTACAATCTCATATATTATGAAAATGAGTAATCTTCACATTAAAAAAATCACTTACTTAAATAAGGTTGTTAAGGGTCGAATCTTAGACCTTTTACAGGATAAGGCGAGACAGATAGGGAGATTTCATGTTAAGAGAACAAGACTGTCGTCTTTAAAGAAACTTATGTAATAAATTAAGAAGTTTCTAGAAATATATATAAAATGTCGTCGGGCCATGTGGGTTCTCCATAATAATTATGCTACTAGTTTATTTCCGAATTTAGACATGACCTCCTAGGTAACTCCAATTTTTTTAGCCATT